GTGGGCAGATAACCTGAGGTCAGGAGTTCAAGACCAGCCTGGCCAATATGGTAAAACCCCGTCTCTACTAAAAATACAAAAATTAGCCGGGCATGGAGGTGCGCACCTGTAATCCCAGGTATTGGAGAGGCTGAGGCAGGACAATTGTTTGAACCTGGGAAGCAGAGGCTGCAGTGAGCCAAGATCCTGCCACTGCACTCCAGCCTGGGCAACAGGGCAATACTCTATCCACCCCCCCAACACCCCCCCCCAAAAAAAAGCAAATAGCCCTCAATAGGCAAAACAATCTTATAAGAGTACAAACATGGAAGACTCATAATTCATGATTAAAAACTTATTACAGTAGGCCGAGCGCAGTGGTTCACACCTATAATCCCACTACTTTGGTAGGCCGAGGCGGGTGGATCACATGAGGTCAGGAGTTGGAGACCAGCCTGACCAAAACGGCAAAACCTGGTCTCTAGCATGGTGGCACGTGCCTGTAATCCCAGCTATTCAGGAGGCTGAGGCAAGAGAATCACTTGAACCTGAGAGACAGAAGTTGCAGTAAGCTGAGATCATGCCACTGCACTCCAGCCTGGGTGACAGAGTCTCCCAAAACAAAACAAAACAAAAAAACAGAAACAAAAAACAAAACAAAAACAAAAACAAAAAAACAGAAAACTTATTACAAAGCTATAATAATCAAAACAGTGCAGTGTTCCATAAAGATAGTCATACAGACCAACCAAACAGAATTGAGAGTCCACAAATAAATCCATTCATCTATGACCAATTGATTTTCTAGAAGAGTGCCAAGACCATTCAACAGGGAAAGAATAGTATTTTCAACAAACGGTGCCAGGATAACTGTATTTCTACATTCAAAAGAACTAAGTTAGACCCCTACCTCAAACCATATAAAAAAATTAACTCAAGCCGGGTACAGTGGTTCATGCCTGTAATCCCGGCACTTTGGGAGGCCGAGGCTAGTAGATCACCTGAGGTCGGGAGTTTGAGACCAGCCTGACCAATACGGAGAAACCCCACCTCTACTAAAAATATAAAATTAGCCAGGCGTGGCCGGGCGCGGTGGCTCAAGCCTGTAATCCCAGCACTTTGGGAGGCCGAGACGGGCGGATCACGAGGTCAGGAGATCAAGACCATCCTGGCTAACACGGTGAAACCCCGTCTCTACTAAAAAAAAATACAAAAAACTAGCCAGGCGAGGTGGTGGACGCCTGTAATCCCAGCTACTCGGGAGGCTGAGGCAGGAGAATCACTTGAACCCAGGAGGTGGAGGTTGCAGTGAGCCAAGATTGCCTGGACAATGAGAGGGAAACTCCATGTCATTGAAAAAAAAAAAAAAATGTAACTCAAAATGGATCAATGACCTAAACACAAGCACTAAGACCACTAACACTGTTAGAAGAAAACACGGCAGTAAATCTTCATGGCCATAAATTTGGATTCTTAATATAACACCAAAAACACAAGCAACAAAAGAAAAAACAGATAAACCAGACTTCAAAATTAAAAACTTTTGTGCATCAAGGGGATGCACAAAATCTACAGAAAGGAAGAAGGCATTTGCAAATCATATATCTGATAAGTGTTTAATATCCAGAATGTATAAAGAACTCCTAGAACTCAGTAAGAAAAAGACAACACAATATAAAAATAGGAAAAGGACTGAACAGACATTTCTCTAAAGAAGATGTACAGATGACCAATAAGCAACATTCAAAGATGTTCAACATCATTAATCATTAAGGAAATACAAATCAAAACCACAAGGAGATACCATTTTATACCCCCTTGGATGGCCATAATCCAAAAAAAAAAAAAAAAAAAAAAAAAAACCCAGAAAATAACTAGTGTTGGTAAAGATGTGGAGAAATTGGAACCCTGCACAATGCTGGTGGAAATGTAAAATGGTGTAGCCATTTCGGAAAAAAGTTTGGCAGTTTCCCAAAAAGTTTAACACAGACTCACCATTTGTCCCAGCAATCATACTCTTTTGTATATACCAAACATTGCCAAATTAAGTATTGAGTATTTACACTCCTAGGTATATACTCAAAAAACCTGAAGACTGGGACGCGAACAGATACCTGTACATCAGTGTTCACTGCAGCATTATTCACAATAGCCAAAGGGTAGAAACAATCCAAGTGCCTATCAACAGATGAACAGATAATGAAATGTGGTATATACATACAATGGAATATTACTCCACTACGGAAAGGAATGAAGTTCTGATGTGCTTTAACAAGGATGAACCTTGAAAACCTTACGCTAAGTGAAATAAGCCAGACAAAAAGGACAAATATTATATGATTCCACTTACATGAAATATCTAGCATAGGCAAATTCATAGAGACAGAAAGTAGATTCAGGCTATCAGCAATGGAAGGAAGTAGGGATGGGCATTTATTCCTTAATGTGTAGAGTTATTTGGGGTGATGAAAAAAGTTTTGGAAATGGATAGTGGAGATGGTTGCACAACATTGTGAATGTAATTAATGCCAATTAATTGTACACTTAAAAATTGCTAAGGCTGGGCGCAGTGGCTCACGCCTGTAATTCCAGCACTTTGGGAGGCTGAGGAGGGCAGATCATCTGAGGTCAGGAGTTCA